GACGAGTTTCAGCAAATTTAGCCTCCCCAAGCGAAGTTAATTGAGTTACAAGCAGGCGCGTTCAACATTTCCACCACATTTTACGCTCCCTCCTAAGAGACTAATTATAAAATAATTTATAATACCGACACTGGATGGACTACCTACCTACATTTAGAAATTTTAAACGGAATCTAGGGAAATACCTTAAAATATTCTGTATACAATAATGTTATAACATAACATCACGCCTTTTATCCCCGAGGGGTAGGCAGAGGTGCACATTATGCCATTGTACAATGTAACACCCACTTTTCAATATTTATGTTATGATTCTCATGTAATAGGAGGTGTGCCTATTGCCATATACCGGGCACAATTCCAGACTCCGTGCTACTACTGAGATTTTTTTTTGTAATCCAGTGATACTTTGCCCGACCCGGGAATCGAACCCGAGACCCCTTGCCCGGCAGTCGCACTTGCGACCACTCAAAATAATATTATCTTCCTCGTAATATTACAATTGTAGTCTAGTTACCACTAAAATAGACTATAAAGTGTAAAGTTCAACCCTGAAGATACATTTAGGATTATATAAAATACTAGCTACTTCCGCGCGGTTTCACTCGCTCTGCTCGGCGCCTATTGATTGTAGCGTGATATTTCATAGCCTGTAGCCCTCCTCGATAACTGTTTTATCCAACACTGAAAGATTTTTTTAACCAGTTTTGTAACTAGTAGTTTCGGAGATTAGCGCGTTCAAACAAAAAGACAAACTCTTCAGCTTTATAATATTAGTATAGATTTATTGTATATCCTTCATTTATATATGTATACAGATAACTAAAATTTTAGAGTGTAAAGTCTAGATATACATACGATACATATACCAAAATAACGCTTTTTACAATTTACAATCTGTCTGTCTGTTTGTACTGGCTAATCTCTGAAATGGCTGGACTGATTTTGACGGAACTTTTATTGGCAAGATGCACTAAGGAGTAAGAGTAACATAGGCTACTTTTATGTTAGAAAAACGTAGACGAAGTTGCGGGTACAGCTAGACTTGAATAATTATTGTCTACATTATTTTATGTATATGTAGGCACATCTTCGATTATATTGGATTTAATGACAATCTGAAAAACAGTGACTTCGTCATAAATACACCTATAATTACTACTTCAGAGAATATAACTTAGTTTTGTTGTACCTACGTATTAGCTCCTAATTACTTCTAAACCACTAAAGTCACATTCAGATCAATAAACCAATAAAAACTGACATACTACCCAACTTAACATCAGCAATCAAATCACAACAAATCAAAATAAAAATACTCCAAAACTTATTTGAAATTTTAATTTTCATCGTACACAATCCCAATTTCCAATTACCGTCGTCCGCGTCGGTTCGGTTTTTACAAAAAACATAATAGGGCCTCCTTTCCAAATGTTTGGTTGCGAAAAAAGTTGAACTCGTTTATCATACCGTTCGACGTCCGCGACGTACCTACGCTTCCCAAGATACAAAAGACTGGATGTGGCTTCATTGCAAGTTCTTATAATACTAGGTAAATTTACCTATATTCGAAACATTATGTATTTAAAGTGATGTTATGGACTTTTTTTTAAGGGGGGAAAATCATCAAATGACTGCTCCCGCCTGGGTGAGGGAGAGGAAGTGTCAGACTCTTACTGACTAAAAACCACCCCGTTCCTTCTCCTCCACGTCGAGCCGGAGCCCCGGTTACCCGTTAGGTTCTCCGCCACTCCGAATCGACATCGGCCCCATTAGGCCCCACCTGTGGTATGGTATGGGCTAACGTGATAATGGTGATGATGATATTGAAACCAATGTTACAGAGATATTTTTCATATTTATCGTCTTGTACTGAAAAACTAATTTCGAACCACCCTTTAACATATAATAAACTTTGTTTAACTCGTCGAGTACCGGTTTTGTAGACACAATTATAGAACAATCGGTTGCAGTCACCGATGACCGCTTGGTGTTTGACAGTTTAAAAGTAAAATCTGAAGAGACTACACTTTATACCCTTTCTCAGGACATATACGAACAAAATTGTAAAAGTTATCATCATATTATAAACCCTTTTGTAGAACTAGTCATTGACTTACCTATCTGGTCAATCCGCCAACTGGACTCGACTATCAAACTTTAAATGCAGCATGAGGCTGAGGGTTTAGTATGAGTTTATTTGACGTTTAAAGTAATCGAAACGAAACCGTATTCGGCGCTGTCATTGGTTGGTTCAATGAAACCGGCCAATCAGAGCGCCTAAACCTCAGCATTGCGGTAAACAAAACAGTACCACTAACAAATGAGTCATACATAAGTGAATTGGATTGTTCGCTCACCAATTCCGGTTGCGAAATGTCGGTTACATTTACGTAGTGAATCATCTATTTATGTTTGACCAGATATCTAAAAACAAGATCTGATTCTCCGAAAACCAAAATTAGGTGATTGTTATTGTTATGTCGAAATCTGCACAAAGGTAAATGAGAGGTCATAAAATTATGTTTAGAGTTATGGTGTTTAGGTAAACGTATGATGTCATTATATGGTATCATACCTATTGATATCGGAGGGGAAGGCAGTGAGTTAGTGTCATATTTCCAAAAACTTTATAAGATCCTCAACGATGTGATCACTTGGCCTGGTCGTAGGATTTTCTCTTTTCCTAACTAAAAGAACATCACAAGCTAAATCCTAAAAATAAATATTATAATAACTTATAAATGTGCTCTTGTAATGTTTAGTATCAAATCAAAAGTATAATTACCATTTTTGCTTTTTGCCACATCCAGTATTTGAACTCAGTTGCACATTTTCACCGCGCTCCAGATTAGTAGCTAGCTTGAAACCGATTATTTGTGTCAATGTGCGATTTTCTACGATTGTTATCTTGTAAAAATACACCGTCTACCTCTATAACATTAATGAAACGAATGTTTTTATAAAGCCTCGCGTCCACTAGGCAACATTTGACTCGCAACACCTGACACTCAACATGTTTGACACCGTTAACGACATTGGCAGCTGACCTGGAACATGACACGCGACCTGTTGTTTGTTTCGGTGGAACATAACGTAGCATATCAAAACTAAATGCAGACATAACAACGAACAAGTATCACTCAAATTATTTCTAAGTCCTCTGGCAACATGTTGAGAGCGACATCATGAGTTATAGACACAGACAGACAACTCGTTGCTCGATAAATATTACGCGCTGACTGTCAACATGTTGAGCAACATGTTATGTAGTGTTGCGCCGCCGATGCGCAGCTCGCGAGCGCCAGATGTGGACGCACCCTTAGATAAACCAATGTACACACATTCACTAGTAACATTTAAAATTCAAACTTTACTGTATGTCAACACTATTGCAATTTCATTTGCCCGCACACTAAACCAACAACACCATCAGTACAGCATGAACGGGGAGCTGCTGCAGCGTGTCACGGAGGTAAAGGATTTAGGTATCCATTTCTCCAGCGACTTAAGGTTTCGTAAACATGTGGTATATGTTTGTAAGAAGGCGTACAGGAATCTGGGATTTGTGCTGCGTCAGGCAAATGATTTCACGAATATCAGCGCATTAAGGGCTTTGTACGAGGCTCTTGTGAGGAGTCATCTGGAATACAGTGCGACCATCTGGAGTCCGAGCGAAATAAAATATAAAACAATGCTCGAGCGGATACAAAATAAATACATCAGATTTATGTATTTAAAAATATATGGGATATATCCGGGATACCCGTTACTGTATCCCACCTTATTCTGTCTCGGTATGGTGGGGTACTACAAATTGGAAGTCAGGCGTGAAGTGGCATCGGCAACTTATCTTCTGAAGGTTTTAAGAGGTAACATACAAAACTCTGGTATACTTTCAGAGATAGGTTTTTGTATGCCGGACGACTATGTGGCGCGGCGGCGCCGGCCGCGGCTGCTGGTGGTGCCGCGGGCGCGCACCAACCTGCTGGAGCGCGCGCCGCTCACTCGTGCTTTGCGCACTCTTAACACGGTGGCTGATGTCGTAGACATATTTAACTGTACACTGAGCGAGTTCACAAGGACCACTTATTCTATAGTGTGTAAGGAAATATAGTTTGCAGTTAAAATTTTAGTAAGTTTATAGTTAAATATAGTTCATAGTTAATAGTTTAGGAAACATATTTTAAGTTACTATGTCGAATTAGGTTAAGTTATCTGTAATGGCAAAGTAATTGTATTAAATAAATAAATAAATAAATAAATAAATGTTTTTTGACAGTTGTCTAATAAAATTACCTTTATGACGTAACATTTTTAATGTGAAGAATTTTTTTGCCTCATTTTTATGTAGATATTACCTACGCGTTGTTGAAATGGCAGATTTTGTGGCTCGTTAGATAATTGTAATAAGATTAATGGAAAGTGTGTTCGTCGTAACGTCAGCTAATGATGATGAAGTTTAGGGATTGTTGGAACTTTCGCCATTATCCATTCACTTTGAGTTTTATATAAAAAATATATATTATTACAAGTAACAAAGTCATATGTATCCTATATGAATGTTAGTTTATAAGTTCACATACATACATTTTTCTTACAAATAATAGTCTTGTCAAGGTCTCTTAGAAATTTTAGTTAATATGAAGGAGACCATAAGACTTTGCCATTAAAAACTAAGTTTTACAACCTTTCTGATATAAAGTCCTAGTATAAATCAACCAGACGGCAATCATCCAAAATGCTTCATCAAAATAAATCTTCCTAAAACCTCAAAAATTAAGATCTTGTCTTAAACTTACAAAAGAGGTAATAAAAATCTCTCCATTCCGCTAACAGCAAAATGTCTACAGCATTAAAAGTAAACGCTAATAAACGCCACTAGCGCCACAGACAGTCGTTTCTCAAAATTAATATCATTGCCGGTTGCTGGCTAGTAAAAAACAAGTAATACTTCAAACTCTAAAGCAAGATATTAATTCTTATTATTTCTTTTTCAGAATTAAATACAAAATGGGCAACGAAGAGAAAAAAGGCAGCATCGTGCTGGAGAACTTTAATTCCACGTAAGTACTTCTATTATTCATTTACGTAAAGACTTCATTGTTATAAACTAGGAAAATATTGAAGGACACAGAATTTAAGTGTGGAAGAGCCATGCTTCGGCACGAATGGGCCGGCTCGACCGGAGTGATACCACGGCCTCACAAAAAACCGACGTGAAGCAACGCTTGCGTTGTGTTTCGTCGTGTGAGTGAGGTTACCGGAGGCCCCATTACCTTACCTTTCCCCAATCTCCCCAATACCTGAATCCCTAACGATCCTCAAACTCCTAATCCCCAAAAGGCCGGTAACGCACTTGTTCCGGGTGTCCATGAGCGACGCCGATTGCTTACCATCAGGTGATCTGTCTGCTCGTTTACCGGCTTATGCCATAAAAAAATATAATATGAGTGTGTTTACAAACATTTTACATACAGCGTAAGTACTTTCGCATCTATTTGACAAAATTGGTCAGTGAACTAACTTTAAGTTTGTCTCGTATTCTGTTCATGAGACTCTGAGCCCCAGCTTGTCTAAAATCTTGTCGTGTTATTTAGTCATACAGTTATGAGAGTAACACGTACAACACAATGAACCAAATCTCATCCATAATTAGAACAAGGAACAGGAGATCACATAAAAAAAATTGCTTAAGTGAGAATCACGCGAAATGTTTTCAAACTGGCAGTTATATGACCAATCTGGGCGCTGCGGTACCGAGTCACCGCACTCATTTTGCAGTCAAAAATATAATAATAACATCACGCCTTTTATGCCCGGAGGGGTAAGGCACGTTACGGCACTCAATGCCACTGTACAATGTAACACCCATCTTTCTCAATTTATGTTATGAGTCCCATGTAATAGAGGGGTGAGCCTATTGCCATATACCGGGCACAATTCAGACTCCGTGCTTCTACTGAAAATTTTTTTCAAACCCGTTAGTACTTTGCACAACCCGGGAATAAGCAAAGACTATGAGATTTCAATTGCTACGATTCTTACATACCTCTTACACTAGTAACAATTTTCGCTATAAATATACATAGTTACAGATGATCCTATTTTAAACGTTGCCCCACACTAGGATTGTCTCCTGTGTCGTGGGTGCGTTTACAAACATACAAGTTCACATACACATCACACCCAGACTCAAAAAACAAATTGTGGATCACACAAAATGTTGTTCCATGCGTAAATCGACCGCGACACGATGCACGGCAGGCGGTTGTCCAGCCACCGCACCAACCGTGCAATCTAAACTAGTATTATAGTTCCAACCTATTACTCTTTGTTAACTCCTTTGGGAAATACAAGGAAAATTTAATTTAAGCAGATCTAAAGTTAAGATCTATTTCGGCTTGTATTGTAGTGTAGGTAAAAATATTAAACTTCAGACAAACTTGAAAATTATAATTAGGGCTCTTGGCTCCTTGTTTTGTCTTCTCTGGAGAACGCCTACGTCTAAAAATGTAATTGTTCTACGAAACGTACTTTATTACCTTAAACGCCTCGGGGCCAATAAAACAATCCTCTACGAATCCTTTATCAAAGGAATCAATGTTTTTATTGCTTTCTAAAATACCAGTGTGGTGGCATAGTCTACAATATATATTGTACTTTGGCTGAAAACTCGCTTATCAATCAACATGAATCTAGTAAACAGAATAAACTAATCTCATTATCATCATCACCAACAATCTATAAGAGGCTATGCTGTCCACAGCCTCTTCTCACACAGAGAAAGTTTGAGCATTAATCACCACGCTTGCTCATTGCGGGTTGACGATTTAAAACTTATAATAAGAAGTTACAAGTCCAGGTATACTCACTACGTTTTCCTTCACCGTTTGTCAGTGGTGTTCCTTTTATCTGTTGAAACACCGGCTTCCGGTATAAAACACATTATACCCGCAACTCTCAACATACAAGAGGCTAAATAATCTTAAAAAGTAGATATAACTCGGAAAAACATCACATTGGTAATTGCCGTTGGTAGGTTTTGATCAAGGGACACGCACATCTTCCTAGGAAAATGCTGTAACAGGCGTTGCACCGTGGGGGCTTCGTGGGCAGGTCTCTTTCAGAGGACAAGGTGCCCCTAACAGGTGTAGAGGAAGGCCACTGGAGTGGTTTCAGTGAGGTACGAATCCCACACTCTAGTCAAGTCTTTCTCAAGTCTTTCTCGCCTTTTGAAAGCTAACCGCGTCATCAAAAACAAAGGTTTCAAACCCGTACCCTCATGCATGAGAAAGGCGTCTTACCTTCCAGGCCACCACGACATTACTACTCTACTCAATGCTAAAGGATTCATTAACAGAGTTAACAATTTTTTTTGACTTCCAAATGAATTAACTGTTTCATTTCAAATCGCACAAAACAGTTCGAAAAATAGAAAAGATAGAGCAACACATAAAATAATGACCTAGTTAATCTTTGAAAACATTCTATGAGGAGCCATTTTCTTTTTCAATTCCATTCGAATCTTGATAACTTAACTGTTTTTCTACATCTTTACGTAAATGCGTTAAAAGTCCCATCCTTTTCTATCAAGATACTTAGAACTAGTATATAACATAACATCACGCCTTTTATCCCCGAAGGGGTAGGCAGAGGTGCACATTATGCCAGTGTACAATAATTTTTTTATCTCGTCTTTTAAACCTTCCCTGGACGAAATGATGTATGAACTGAACGAACATTTCAAGACCTTATATAGCCACATCGGTTCAGCCATTCTTGAGTTTTAGCGAGACTAACGAACAGAAATTCATTTTTATACATCGATAAATATTAGGTAAATAGTCAACATTATCCCCAAAATAACAGCACAATTCTACATCGATCAATCATGTTATTCTACGCAGTATGCGATTAAGTTCTTAATTACAGAACTTACTTGAATATTCTATTCTGCATTGAACGTAAGAATGTGGATTATAAATGTTTGAAATGAATAATCATGATCGTGATAATGTCCCTTTTAATCCTCAAAGGGTTAAGCAGTTCATATAAGTATGAAGACTTAAAACCCACTCTTTCATCTTCAAGTTTCATGTAGTAGAAGGTGAGCCTAGTATTTTTGAGTGACTTATTACTGAGAACAAAATTAAGGCACCACAGAATGTTCTAGAATAAGGCATCGTGAAGGCAAATATTATTATATACCTCTAAATACCAAACTTTAACTTTATAACTATGTAAGTAGGTAGCAAATTACTTAGATATAAAACTGACTTCAAAATGTTATCTTAAACTTAACTTGTTCTAGAAGTTATGTTAGAACTTTAAGATACACATTAGCTCATTTTAATCTAGGTTCTAACGTGGTAATTTGAGAGCTAATTGTAACGTGACTTTGTTATCATTTATCTAATAGATTAATTGACTGGATAAACTAGAAACTTTGAAGGTTATAGACCTGGAATGTGTCGATTCTATGTTGGTTAGGTTTGTATCTACAATTTTAAAGTTTACTATACCTCGACTAGAAGAGATAACTAGAGAATCGTATTGTAAACCTCATTGAAAAAGAGTAACTTATTGAGTTTCTTACTCATTCTTCTCCATAGGAATCTACACGTTGGAATAAGCAAATAACTTCACTTTTAAATTTTTAGTTGACGTTCATAACTGCCTTCCTGGTCTAATTGTAATAAATGATTTTGGCTTTGACTGCACATCGAAGACCGCACCTTTCCTTGAAGGTTGTTAGCTGATGAATTATACTATAGTTTGGATTAACGTGTAGGTACCTATTAATGAAGTTTCTCATTAGCGATGTTAGTTGATAAACTATCACATCAATCACAAGAAGTTCTAATGACATGTCCTGGATGCTTACGTTTGAAACCAATCTCAATGTCAATGCAATTCCAATCCAATAAAATCTCAATAATTATTCAATGTCAAAACTATACAACCCCTACATAGCTGTTAAAATAACAGTCAGAGTACGGAATACAAAGACAAACTCAATACCAAATAGTTAATTAAATCCACGCAATACGGATGCAATAGGCGCTAGTGTTCAAGAGTACGCAATTTTACAAAACCAATGTTGATCGATCGGAATTCGATTCAAAAGTAAGCCACCTGAGTTGCAAAGAGCAATGAATTTATTCAGGCTCCTTTAACATTCACATAGAATAGGGTAGTTTCCAAAATTTTGTTTTACTGTCCGTCTGGTACATTAATTTAAAACTTTAGACACGTTTTTTCTTTTCTCACAAAATTAAATACTTTCAACGATATATTAATTTGAAATATCGTGTGACGTCACAGCGTGCCACATTTTGTAGCACGTAACAACCTCCCACTCCTAAACTTCGCGCCATTTTATCTAAGTATTGCAACTTAATACAAGAAAATAAAAAAATACGTGTCTAATATTTTTTCATTATCTAACTGATGGACTAATTAGATTTTTAATTTTGATACCCTGGAAAGTACCCAAATCGCTCAAAAAAGGATTTTGTACATCGCTATTAGATACGAAACATAAATGATATTTTCGGCACAATTCAAACGTAACCTTTATTCATGACTTCACCTCAAAATTATACAAGAACTAAAGTAACAAACAAACTGTCAAAGAACTTCAACTAACCAGAATTAAATGTTCCTTTCTTACAGAGCAAATTTAGCGACAAACCCAGGCTTCCAGTCAACACTAAGTTTAGGATCAAAAGAAGTGATTAATGAGAAGGCCTACAACCCATTTGAACATAGAAAAGTGGAGCACCCTAACTCGTAAGTAACAGTGCACCACAATTACTTTTCTTCTTAAGGGGGATACTACAAGGTAGCTTGAGAAATCTTAACTTCTTCGCAATTATAGCTCAATACCAAATAGTGTAATGGTGAAATATACCTCGAAGCAGTAATATATATGTGTTTACATAGTTATATTTGTTGACTGCACGATTCGGGCAGGGGTTGAGTGACCGGCTGCAGTGCAGCATGTCGCGGTTTCGATTCCCGCACCGGCCAAAAGTGATATTGACATTTTCTGAGTAAAATAACCATTATTGGTCTGGAGTCACAAAGTTCAACGGTATTCTAGCCCCATCCCTCGAAAAGCACGGAAAGCTGCCGGTCCTCTCGTCTCTCCTCGTGCCGATCTGCCGTCCCCTCGAGTTCAGAGAGTGCACTTGTGTTTGCACGCACACTTGTGCACTATAATATCTCCTGCATAATGGGCTAGTCTATCGGGATGTCGATCGGGAGATTTAACTTATTGAAACCATCAGCCTTGACTCTGCAACTTAATGTCAACAACGTCAAGTTTTTACTAAAATGGTACATTTTACACCTTCTCTACCTCAGGCTACCTTAAAACATCCCCCTTAAAATCCTTATTTGACGCCGTAATTTAGGAGAATATTATTAGGAACAAAAATTGCTAACCGTTTGGAATACTAAACAAGTTTGCTAACACTTTTTTGGGAAATTATTAGTATTACCTTAAAAAGATGCCTAGATTTGATCTGGCTTCTAATACTTTTAATGTTGATTAATGGTTTTATTCATGTCATGGTCACAATATTTACTGTTAGTCCTTATTTTCAGTACATAAGGGATATCTTCTATTGTCTCAATGATTAGGTTTAATACCAAAATAACTAAATCAGAATTTGAATTATCACCTGATTGCTGTAATTATGTCGACTATGTCAGACTGGTCACCTGTCAGATTTTAGGAAAAATTAAATATACCTGGCCGTTTTCTATTTTATTTGTGATTTTTTTAATAATTTTATCCATGTGTTAATGCTATGTCTTTCAATGTAGTTAATTGCCACCTCTTTTCCAGAACAATTGGTTCGTTGGTGCATCTACTAAAATCTTCACTAGGATCTGGTATCCTGGCTATGCCTGCTGCCTTCAAAAATGCAGGTTTAGCAGCTGGAGCGATTGGGACGCTAGTCGTCGGATTCATTTGTACACATTGTGTTTATGTTTTGGTAAGATTGTTTTTATAATATATATTACTAGCGACCCGCCACGGCTTTGCACGGGTGCAATATGCATGTATTATGTATATATAAACATTCTTTAAGAATCGCTCTACCTATATATTAAAAAAACCGCATCTAAATCCGTTGCGTAGTTTTCAAGATCTAAACATACATAGGGACATACAGACGGCGGATAGCGTCTTTGTTTTATATTATGTAAATGTATTATTACAATGTTACTAGTTTAATGGTTTCTAGATAAGCTCAGTTGGTCCAATCGTTCTTGAATTGCCCTTAGCAACACATATGTATATAGAGTCATTTTTATTTATAGATCGACGTTTTTACATTAATACTTATATA